GAGGGGGGGTGAAGGGAGGGCAGGGACAAGGGGAAAAATGAGAATCAAGACCTATTATGTAAAGGTACAGGATCCCAATGATGAATGTAATTGTAGTGCATACCTAGATTGTACCAATAACCTCAATAAAAAAGAAAAAAAAAACAGGGAATTTTTCACGCTGTTTAAGAAATAATGACAAACATGGCATTTAACTTAATATGGTTATTTTTTCAAAGAGATTACTTTTTATATCCACCTTAGAAATTTATAAAAATTTCATGTGCAATGGCTGCATATTACAAATGACTTAAACCCTGTCTGTTACACTTTTTAAAGCGAATGTGCATTTTGCTGGGATCCTCAGTTGATGACCTGCTCACATCAAATTTAGCTGTGGGCTCTGTGTGTACCCTGTAGATGCTGCCTCTGAAATACACCTCTGTCATGCTGCCTCTCTCCTTCTTCAGTGCTATGCCTCTGCTAAGATGTAAACCTCTCAGGACAGCGGCTTCCTAACTGGCCTCAGCTTTCACTCTTGACCATGAACCAAAGCACAGAAAGCAGTGATTTCAGTGGCTTCCCTTCCCTCACACTTCAATCCTCACTCTTCAGACAGCTTTGAAGGCTTGAACTGATGCAGACATGCGTCTCCTGTCTCTGAACGGTCACTGGGACTGCTTCTCTCTCTCTCTCTCTCTCTCTCTCTCTCTCTCTCTCTCTCTCTCTCTTCCTTCTCTAAGCCAATAGTTGAAATCAAGATTTCTCCTTCCCAGAAACTTCCATCTTGGTGATGCCTCCAGACTGACAGGTTCCCCGCCAACCTCCTTGTCACCATCACTGCCATGTTTTCTTTGTCCTGAAGCTCACAGCTGAGTCTTCCTTCCTCAGTGAGATTGTCCCTGTCTTACAGTTTAAAACAGGACCTCTTACATTATCTCAGTCCTATAATTTTACTTCAGGATGATTTCTTTTATAATTGATTCTATATTTATTTGTATGGCCTTCTACAATGAGCTACATTCCTAGCCATTTTTTGATTTTTTTAAAAAAATTTTAAGCCACGGTCTTGCCAAATTATTAGGTACCCAGGTTAATCTCAAACTTGAGATCCTCCTGCCTCAGCCTCCCAGAATATGGTGATTGCAAGTATGTACCACCATGCCCTGCTCAACTTTAATTTCACATATGACAAATGCAGAACAATTATGCTACTGCAAAACTTGACCTCTTGTCCCCTGTAGTTCCACAGGGCACTTGGGAATAGCCAGTGAGTGGAACAATGGTAGTCACAGACTGAGTGGCTGAAATTTTAATATTAGTTCTATCCCTGTAAGGATCTAGGACTTTGGAAAAATTTTCACATGTCTTCATGCCTTAGCTTTCTCCTTTCTCAACTGAATTTGAAGAAGAAAAAAATTTTTTTCAAGCCTCAAAATGTATTGAAACACCAAGACTAGTTTTGTGGACTTTTCAGTTTGCTGGTGATGAAAATAATGATTTGCACTGTGGTAAAAGCTAATGTGGGTGGCAGATGCATCGCAGGCCTAGCGCCACTTCTTTAACCCTTACATCTTTCCAGGGACAGCCCCACAGCTTCTGCTAAGTCTTTCTTCTGTAGAGAAAGGGGCACAAATCACCCGGCATACGGGTGCAGGGCTCACACTGTAAGTGATGGTCAAACAGCAGAAGTGTCTCAGAGCTCGGAGTCCATGTCTTAATCACCACCCTTTGGAGACTCCTCCCGAAATAGTCATTTTACCCTTAATTGTTCTGTTCCAAGTCACTCCCCAGCATGTTCAGAATCAACCTCTGGACTTACTGATGGCCGGTGCTCTGAGAAGCACCAATTGTACACACCTGTTTATCAGGTGCCTGCACAGAACTGTAACAGAGGGAGTCTGATCCTTCTTCCCTCTCTTCAGCTTGGGCTTTGTAGTAACGGTTACTTTGTGGATAAACTAGATTGCCTCAGCCCGGCAGACCTGCCTGGGTCTGGCCGACCCCAGCGATTTCTCAGATGTCTTTATTGATTTTCGCATAGTTCTGGCTTGTTCTCAGCACATCACTTCAGTGTCTTATTTGACAGCCCTCTGACCTGTTCACGATTGAATTGTTGCTCAGGAACATACTCGCTTCTCCTGCCTGCGCAACAGAGTGAGTCGCTGCAGGACTCCGAGAAGCCTGGCACTTTAAAGTCGGTCCTGTGAATGTTCTGGACATTGGCAAGGCCATAATTCACTGGTACTTAGAGAAAGGACGACGAAGGAGGTGCGTGCTTCATCTTTAATCATCTGTTAGCATTTATATTAACTGACACACGTAGCGGAGTGAGCAGGCATCGCTGTGTATTTATTTTCAAGCAGCATCTTATGGGGAACATTGGCCTTTAAAGAATGTATACGCTTATGGGGGAAAAGTTTCATTTACTAAGAATCTTAGGTATTTACTAGGAGAGTAACAGGTCAAGGGCCAGAATGGATGCTGTTCATAATGTGTACAGTTATAAATAAAGCACATGGGGCCAGGGATTTAGCTCAGTGGTTCGGTGGCCTGCCTTGCAAGTGCAAGGACCCGAGTTCAATCCCCGGTACCCCCCAAAATAAATAAATAAATAAAGCACATGGCTGTGGATAGAAGTTGGCAGCAACATCTAGGAAGAGTTATGTAAGGTATGTAGCCCTTTAGGAAGACACACAGAGTACAGGTAAAGGCCATCAGCGGGCCTAGTACACAGCTTGGCTTCAGAATGGGGTTCTCCTATTCTCCAACTGAATAACCTTGAGCAAGTTACTGGATTCTGTGAACCCTCTTTATTTGTAAATTGGGGATAATAACAGTATTTACCTTACAGCATGGTTTGGATAAGGACCGAGGGGTGTACTACAGTTTAGTGGGAGCCTATGGGGTATAGTGAGTAGCTACCATTGGCTCACATGGGCAAGACAAGGGCTGGATGCTACTCGGAAGGGAGGATCAGCTGGGAAATAATTTCAGGACCCAGCATCCATAAAAGCCAGGAGAGTGCGTGCTGTGTGCCCAGAAGGAGACAGGAAGGAGCTGCTCCTGTGCAATTTCAGAGTCTAGAACCCTTCCATCAGATACTGTGTTCCACCACTGCAGTTTGAACAAAGAGAAAAACTAATACTGCTGCAGTTTGCTAGAAATCTTACTCTGTCTCCAGAGAGAATTCACTGCAGTTCTTGCTGCAAGGAAGGATTTGGGTCTGTAAGACACAATACCATGACCATTCCTACCCGTCTTCCGCAAGCTGCTCTCACTTTCTTAAAGCAGGATGTTATCTCCTTGACAAGCGATGCCTCTACAGGAGGAACATTCGCACGTTTTACCATTACAGACACCACTTTTGGCTTTGGGCCATTGGTGGGCTAGCAACCCAGGGGCAGGACACAATATAATATAACTCTGACTTTTACCTGTTCTATGGGATGTGGAATAATTTCTTCTCGAGTGTAGGAAGGAGATCGTTTCTGTGTCCTTTACAGTGAATATTCCCAGCAGCTCCAGCAAGAGCTGCAAAGAGAAGAGTCAGAATATAACTGGGCCCTTCTGGAGAGGCTTGGATGACAAAAGCAAGCTTACTACAGCAAGAGTGGGGCTACAACGCAGCGAGGGAATCTCTTCGCAGCAGAACAATCACCGTCTTTCTCAAAACAATGGGGAAATTCGTCGACCATTTGCAGCGAGCCCATAAAACGGAAGTGCAATCACACAGCCTGTCAGAGAAGCAGTGTTGATGTTTTCAGAAGGATCCTGCAAGCATCTCACCCATTTGTCTGTGCCGCTGGTAACAGCCCACTCACATGGCCAGGATCCCCTTCCAGCCGAGCTCTACTTTAAGCCTTTGTAATCCTCGCAGCACCGCGGTTCTGTCAACGTCTTCCAGTTTAGTCCAAAGCACACAGGGCGTGCGGCACCCTCTGTACAGTCAGTGTTGCCGAGCATCCCCTGCCTTCTACCCTTCCAATGTTACGGTGAGAGAAAAAGAAAGGTGCCACATACCATGGTGTTTCGGCGCGCGAAGGATTAAGCCGCGAGTGGCTCCCACTCCCAAGGCCTCCAGCTCCTCGGAGAAAGACTGATGATCTGGAAGGAGCAGAGGGCGTTGTGCCACTTCTGGCTTAAGGCTGGCACATTTGCATGTTGTGATTTCGTCTATGTGTATGTTGGTAAATCATCTGTACAAAAAGCTGAATGCAAATAAATCGTCCCAAACTCCAAGGCTTGGGAGCTCTGTTGACAAAAAGCCACGAGATTAGACAAAATGCTTTCTCTCCTTTGGGATGTGCTGGCATCCTACATCCACTTTCTGATGGATGATCAGAATAAAAAAGAGTGAGCACCCACGCCCCCACCCTGTGCCCTTGGTCTGGCAAATATTTCCCTGTGATATTGCCAGGCTCAGTCTGCCTAGAGGAGACACGGCCTGCCATGATGGAAACCAGCCTTCCTCCCAGACATGACAGCCCTCGGCCCACCCAGCCTGTCACGATACCACTGCAGTGTCCACAGGCTGCGGTGTGTTCACGGGCAATGCCAGGAAGGCAGTGGACCACCGTTCCCAATAGCAGCCTCGGCCACTTAAGTCCTATGTTTACAGGGTTTGCAGGAGAATAGATTTAATATGGGACACATAAATGTATAGGGTTATCTCATAATATTCACCCCAAAAATCAGATGTAGGAGAGTGCAAAAGATCTGTCCAAGCTCTAGAGACTGGAGGAATCCTGTGGAGGTCTTGGATCCCATGGAAATATCCTGCACGAGTCCAGCAGGGGGCCTAGAGCCCATGGCAATGTTTCATGCAAGAAAGTAGCAAGGATCTAAGCCAAAAAGGTCCAAGTGCATGTGGTGGAAGGTCTGCACTGGTGGGGAGAAGGATCTGTGTCACCAGGCTGAGGGATCTTCACTGGAGCCAGGAAGTCACACTCAAGATAAAAGCAAAGACCAAAGCTCCCCCAAAGAGAGCAGCAGCCCTCCCGTGCCTGAGCTCTTTCCCCTCCCCGTCTTCCTAGAACAGCTGAGTTTGTAGCAGGAAAATCAGAAGCAACAAAAGCTTCTCCTGGGAAATCAACAGCAAGTAATCCTCCCCTGCTTCCTCCTTTTATGCCTTTCCAGCATCACCTTCAGATGGGTCTTCCATTCCCAGAACCATGCTGACTCAGTTGGGCTGGGCATTCCCACTCAAGATGACCATTTGTTAACTTGCCACATTTATGAAGTTCCATTTTTAATAAAATCAAGGTAGGCTTTTGATGATTCTCTTTTTCATTTTTATGGGACTGGCGATTTAGCTCAGTGGTTCCAGCGTCTGCCTCGCAAGCAAAAGGACCTGAGTTCGATCTCTGGTACTCCCAAAGCAAAAAATCCCTCGCCTTCTTTTTCACTTTAAAATAAAATGACGCTCCCTAGGTTCTTCACATACCCTGCACTGGAGAATATGATGGGCTGGACATGCAACTGAACACTGGAGGGTATCCAAACATGGTGTCAGCTTCTGCGCTTTTCACCAGCCAGTCTCTGCAGAGCCCCAGTCTTCAAAATTCTAGACAAAGAAGACTGGAAAATGTATAAATCATGATTTTGCTCCTGGGTACTTAGCCACAGTGATGAGGTGCTTAGCATCCTATACCACCTGCATCCTAATGGGCCATAAGCTATTCTGGTTTATCTGAGGCTTCACTGAAAGCTAAGAGGATAAGCAGCATGCTCCGTCTTTAGTATTCCGGACTGAGAGGGACTGTGCTGTAAGCCTGCTCTCATGGCTCTCTGCCAGCACTGACTTCCAGGGGATCCTACTATACTGCTCAGCTTTAGAATAGCATCCAAAGTGGTGGTGCAGTAAGGGACCACAGACTGGGCATCCAATGTGTGTGGTGCTCCAGGCAGCAGTTACAGAGTTCCTCTCGGTTCCCCTACCCTGAGTGACTATCACTAGATAGTCATGGATAATGCATGGAGAAAGGAAAGATCATCACGCCTTACACCCTGTCTTTGTTCTCAACGTTACACTGTGCTGTGCTTCAAGATGTCCCACTGCTAGTTCGATATAATATTTTTCTGATGTTCTTGGATCAAATAGCATGAGAGGCAAAGGGCTGAGATCTGGAAAAACAAATCTTATGGAGTTTAGCAAACTGACACGTTGCAAGAAAGAAGCTTGCTTTGCATTCGAGACCCAAGGTTGTCACAAAGAAGTAACTTTTAAAGTGAACTGCAAACCAGATTTCCACACCCTTTCTGAAAACAAGTTGACACTCTAAAGCATCTCTCTCATAACTCCTGTAAGAGTGTCTGCTGCTGTGTGTTGCCAGGGACACTGAGCCATTTATGAGATATTTAATTCAGAGCCGAGTTCAGAGAAAGCAGACTTTGGGTTGGACCTAGAGCTAATCTTTTTTAAATTGATCCTGCGATTTCTGGTCCTGTTTTAAACAGGACCTGAGGAATGGTTACTTCGGAAGGGAAAAAAAAGACATAGTTTTTTAATAACCACTATGCCATTTTTTTTATTCAAACCAGCCCATAGTTCCTTCATAACACTCCAGAACAGCAGTATTGTCTCACACATTCCTGACTGGACACAACCAAGCTTGCACGGTTTTAGAGAGTTCCTGCTCCTCTCAGCCTCAGGGTCACCTCATGCAGTGAGGCCCAGGGAATACTTAGTACTAACTATCTACTTTCTGTTTTCCCCCGCTACCAGGGATCGAACTTGGGACCTTGCACTTATGAAGCAGGTGGTAGAAACACTAAATCCCTGGCCCCTAGTACTAACTATCAGAACTTCTCACAGTGCTCTCTAGGGAGAGCAGAAAAGACAGGACCTATGGAAGCTCTTCTCTGCTTTCCAGGGTTTAGCTATGTCTTTCAGCAGTGTGACACTGGAGATCAATGGCGCAGAAGCATTAACTGTATGTGCACATTTGTCATCTAAACCAGCTTTCGTTCAGCAAAGATTTATTGAGTGCCTATTGAGAGCTAAGCACTGGTTCTGGTACTATGGATAGAGGAATATGTGAAAAAGCCAACAATGTCATGCCTTATGGAATTTTTATTCCATAAAGGGCGACAGACAATAAGCAAGCAGAACAAGTAAAATATGTCTCACACTGAACAGGGATAAAGCAGAAAAAGAAGAGTTGAAGTAGGAAAGGATTGTTGAAACTTTTAGGAAGCATCTAGGAGAAAACAATGCTTTAGTTTATTACCACGGGAAGTAAAGAGTAAGCTATGCAGGTTCTCTGGAGAAAGAGTGCTCCAGTCAGACACAGGAACAAAATCCCTTGACACGGGTGCAGTCTGTTCAAAGAACAGCAAGGACACCAGTGTGCTTAGTGCAGGGCACGTGATGGTGGACTGGGAAGAGGAGAGGGTGCTGTAAAAGCTTCAGCTTTTACTCTGAATGGAAAGGGAAGCCCACATCTTCAGCTAAGTAGTTACACAACCTTACTTTCATTTCAGCGGGGTCATCCACGCGGATGTACTACAGCGAGACTTCATGAGCATCAGGGAGAGGGAACCAGGTAAGAGACTCTTGCTTGAACCGGATCAAGAGATGATGGGCTTGTACTGCCTCGGTGCTCACGTTGGGCTCTCGGTACACACATATATTCTGCTTCAGCCAAACTTAACACTAGGCCAAGAAGCCCTTGTTTTTTGTGCTCTTTGTTTGAGTCACATATGCTTAGTTATGCCATTAAAAGAAACATGTTGAATCCAACAAATTTGATGTCTTAAACTTCAAATTCCTAAGGGGGAAAAAACCCCGTATTATATTTACACATAATTCTGGAATACATTTTTATATTTTAATTACTAAATAGAAATTCACCCTTGACATCTAATATGCATAGTTTCTATACCACTTCTCTAGATTACTTTTGGAAAACATTTTGAATCTCTGGTCTCCCGTGACATATATGCCTCAGTGCTTAGTTAGACCTACGTGGAGTATTCCCAGCCCTTTGTCTGGAAGCCACATTTTTACAGATGTGAGCTGACTCACATTCTATCCATGAAGGACAGCCAAGATCCATTCACTGGTCCATGTGGGCTCAGACACACACCCCTTGCCTTGACTCACAACTCCCCAGGACCATGTGAACGCCAGCCCTTCGGGGGGATTGGCCAAGACCTCTGCTGCAGCTATGTCACCACTCAGCTTCTGCCCGAGCTGATCGTACGTCTCTCTCACTCCCTTACAGCTCTTGTGCCCAAGCGCCCTCTCCCAATGGACCTACTGCATATGAATCTCATGTCAAGGTCTTCTGTCCAGAGACCCAACCTGTGACGTCTGACCGCAGTGCCAGTACAACTAGGTACTGAAGCCAAAGATAGCCAGAGAATCAGCCACCTTAAAAACAATTGCACATATTCATTAAAAAGAATGAACGTTAACTACTATTAGTTTAAATTTTACTTTCAATCTAATCTCCAAATTGCTTACTATATCAGTTTGGTGTTTTCCTTAAGGAATGCGGCTATTAAAAAGAACCACTAGTCTTCCACAGAAAGTGCTTTGCCATTATGTAAAATATGTTTCCTACTCTGCTAATTATAGCAAACACATAGCAAGAATTAAAAAGAAAACTGTCCTTAAATGTCCTAAGTATATCCCATAATTACCTGAACATGTATATATGTTGGAAGGAAATTAAGAGAGTTGTATTTGAAATTGTTCTCCGAGTGTCTCAGCTACTCAGCCATTAATAAAAGGAAGATTAGCAAAATTTTGCTGAAAGACAAATTACATATATATTTTTTCAAGTCTGAATCCTCAGGGTGTAACTTTTCATAGGTGAATATGCTTAGAAGTGCTCTCTTGACTGGGGATTCTTTTGTAAATTATTTTAAATACAAAGAAACATCACCTGCCACGGGAGACATCTGAATGCCACCGTCAGTTCATCTCCCTGGAAACAGAAGAGAGGTTTATAATCTAATGTATTCTTGTAATGGCAGCCACCCTGATAACATATAACATAGATATAGCTATTGTAACAATGCATCACGAAACATTCTAGTATGCATTAAGAAATTCCAATGAGATTAGAATAGAGTGAATTTGAATTACTTACTTTTTTCATTTGTTTGGCAAAAAGCATCTGAAGATCAAAGATTCAGCTCTTCTCTGACTCCCTCTCCCTCTCTCTCCCTCCTCTTCCTCCTCCTCCTCCTTCTTCTTCATGTTCTCTCTCCTTCACTCCCCTTCTCCCCTCCTCTCTCTCTCTCTCTCTCTCTCCCACCTGCCCTTTTTCTTTTCTCTCCCTCCATTTTAATTTTAAAATAATTTCTGTTTTTCCTAACACTTTTATAAGAACCAGGTAAGCAGATTATTCTTTTGGAAGCTGAGAAATTACTGCAGGACTACAATAACTCGCTGTAATAATGTATTTATAAATAATCTGAATATAATACTGTGGGAACAGTTCATAGTTGCTACAAGATTTTATTTGTCATACTTGGAACTAAATCGTTTAAAAATCACTTCCCCGGTTCCAAAAATTCTGTCTTACTTTTCTCAACACCCAAAGTGAAAGGGGGAAGGTTTATTTAGCTCACAGTGTGTAGAAGTTTCAGTCCATAATCGGCTGGCTCCAAGGCAGGGTAGCTCATGGCAGAGGGGCCTCACAGAGGAGAAGTTCACAGTGGCCAGAGAGGAAAGCAACAAGGGACTTTAACAGCTTCTTTCTGCCCCCTTTATTTTATCTAGATTACTTAAAGTGGGCAGCACTCACACCCTCAATCCTAGTGTCCTTGAGCCTAGTATTGCACAATGAATCAATTCCAACACTACACACTCTAGATCCAGGCACCTCTGAAAAAGCCCCACCTACCACTGCATGAAGCTGGGGGTGGGGGGCATCTAAACACAAGCCATACCAATCACCTAATTCAAATTTTCACCTAATTCTCATTTTCCTGAAGAAAATCCAGGACCGGTGAAATAAAGTTATTTACCTCAAATTCATAGAGCTATTTTTTATCTTTATTAAATTGATTGGTACATTTTAGGTATACAATATAGTTGCATTCATCATTGGAATCTTGTACCTTTACATGACTTATCTTGATTCTTATTTTTTGCCCATTGCCCAGCCCTCCCTTCAGACCATCCACCCTCCCTTGTTTACAAAGACATCATTTCCATGTTTTTCCTTTTCACATATTTTTTCTTTTCCCTTTTTACCATTCCCCTACTCCTCCAACTTCCTCTACTCTTTTAGAATTTTCTTCCTATTACATAATATCAATTATATATTTTAATCCTATTTACACTTCTACTTGTTCACACCAGAGAAACTATTCAGTATTTACACATGTGTGACATTAATTTCAGTTAAGAGTATGGCCTCAGTATGCATCTGCTTACCTATAAATCTCTCTAGTTTATTGTTCTTTGTGGCTGAGCAGTATTCCATTTTGTAGAGCTATTTATGGTAGAATTAAAGCTAGAAACCTAACTGTCCTTGCTTCAGGACGAAGAACTTAACACTAATTTAATTTTGTTCACTGCCAACATAACACAAAGTGAGGAGAAAGATGCAGGGACCAGTGTAATTTCATAGTTTTGCTAGAGGATCTT